CTAGATCTGTATGAGAAATTCGCAAGTTCTTTTTATGTAGAAATGAATCTTAATTTTTGTTGATGATCCAGAATAGGTCGAAATTCTATAATTTTGAATATTTTTTTCGATGATACAGAGAATATTATAGTTATTTATGTATTAAGGGAATTATGAGGGCCTTAATTACCGATGGCAAAGTTTGCGTCCCGAGGGCCTCTGGCCCGAGGGACAGCAATTGCCTGAGGTTATTGAGGCTCAGTAATTTCCGTGATACATAGATAATTTTATTTCTGACTGATTTCATTCATTAGATACCTTCCCGATTGGAAGTTAGACATGTTTTTCCGTATAGTTTCAATGTCATCAGAACGTCAGATGATGATCTTGACTACCGCGAATAGGAGATTCCTTATTGCTACGTTACTGCGTGGTTGTTGCTATGCATTTCTTATTTAATTTTAGTTAGAGGGAATTATAGCATCTATAACATCCCAAGGGAGTTATGACCCTCATAATAGATATCGTAACTATGACGATATAAGCTTATAATGTCACTGTCAGAAATAAATAATATTAATCCTTCCTCATCAGCAACCTCTCATTGAAAAAAATTTGAAAGAGGACAACAATGCTTATGTTTTTCTTAGATATTGTTGAAATGTCTGCATTCACGTATCATTATTAGTAGAAAAAAACAAAAATCACAAAAATAACCTAACTACAATATTATTTTGAACGCGTATAGTGCGGGTGAGCTTCTATTCTGGAACCATAGTTGAAGCTCTATAAGAGTCTCTTATTTCGAAACATTCAGTTGAGAAATGGATTTGCGAGAAATCAACATGTGTGTGCGAGTTTAATAAATTAGTTCAACTTATCATCCTGATTTTTGCGTTGATATATTGTGATAAGAAGTTTCCAAAAGACGTTATTTCAACCAAACGTTGTGGTTATTTTACTATGTTATTTCGACGTGTTCTAACTGCGACAGAACAACGTATCGGCCCATATGCCGAAGGTCTCAAGTTCGAATCCTATTCCACGTAACTTTTTTTTTCAGTTTTTTCAAGTGATTATCGGAAAAGAACTTTGGATGCTTTCAATGTCGAAACCGATAGTGATTCGCTATTTCAATAATATTTTCTTGGATCTAACGTGTGTCAAGCGGTCGTTGTGACATTGTGGTACTCTGAGTAACAAATTCGACTGAACAGCAGAATTTTTATTGTAACGCCACTCCTAAGATTTAAGTGGACTGCTCCATACTCGGTCAGTGCGAAAGTTGTGATAAGGACATTACATTGCATACGAGATGATATTTGCTGCGATGAAATATATACTGTACATGGAAGACATCAGACAGTTCGAATATATGAGGCAGTCACTCACATTTTTTTCAATGGATTAGGCAACTCAACCTACAAGGACGATATGATATGGAAGACATATTTCACAGTTTTATGATCTGAACAGATTTGAAGACAGTCAGATCAATTGGTGACCTCAAATTTTGATATAAGCAAAATTGTGAATAATAAACCTTGTCTCTACCGATGAGAAGCTGGTCTCAGTTTCATGAGCTGAGATTACAAATATATCGAATGAAAAGAGAAAAACGAAATATAAATACCCATTGAATGCGGAGATTCAATAAGTAAAAATAGTATATATTGTGTATCATATATGTATATAATTGACTCAAAATCAATTGCTGTATGATGACTAGAGCTGAAACTGAGTCGAAAGTAGCTATGAATATTATCGATGAAATAAATGATTTCAGAAGTTTCCTACAATTTTATCCATTCTTCTCAAACGTCTCTTGCATATAGAAAGTTTCAGAGGAGATATAAACGACATCATCAATATCGAATCAAACTGTTTGGATATGAGTCATTACGCTTCTGATGATGATGTACCATGTTGATACGATCTATATAACATTATTCATTATATCGGTATCACCAACAGCAGAAACCATATGGCCTATTGCATATATCCATGATTGGAACGAGTTCAACGACTCTAGTGTGTCTTCGATATCGGTGAAATCAGTTGTGAATGAGAAATCACATTATGTTTCATATAACCAACAAGATAGGTTTCATTAATGTATGTACTTCTATTCCATTTATTGTAATTATTTCGACTATTGAAATAGACGACATACAAGTAATATGCTATAGCTATGAATTTATCTTTATATTGTCAATACATATTTCGAATCATTTATCGATTTTTTGTTTAGGAAGATCATCTTGGTACTACCCAGTAGTATATTTTTGTATTGATAATGAAGAAGATGGAAAGCCCTGATTTCGAGTGACAATGGAAAATGAAAAAACTCCACCGCCCCGTGTGAGAGTCGAACTCACAACCTCTGGGTAACATGCCCAACGCTCTGCCAATTGAGCCAACAGGTCGTCCGTCGATCAATCGGCAGGGAGGTCGAGTTCTCATCACACACCAAGCGGCAGAATCGTTCCAATTCCCGAAGTCACTCGAAATCATGCACTATACGAAGCATCGCTGGCAGGATGGTACTATTAAGTCTCCATATTTCTCCGTTCGTCCTCTGGCATTGTCTTTCCTTGTATACGGAGATGTTCGGTCGAGTAACCGACAAAAATCATCACCCACTCCTATGTATATTTTTGTGCCAAATTGTTTGATCTCATCTTGCAAAAGCACTATTTTTCTATTTCAAACTCATAAAATCCTGCTCAGGGTGATCATGAAAAGGGGTTCTACCTAAATTATCATGTATATGTTCAGAAGAATCGTCCCTCACGATATCAGAAACTGAATTATTTGGAGAAGAAACATTATTCTTCGAAGCAATCATTCCTCCTATACATGAGAGTGTATCTTTACAGACAGGCATCAACCCTTCTGAAGAAAAATGATGAGAGCCTGAAAAAAATCATACATACAAAGAAGATATATTGGTTTTGGATCTCATATAGATGCACGATAAGATCTATTTTTTTGTTGCATAAGAATGCAAGTTTTCTCATAGAATTTGTTCAACCAATTCCATCAACTAACATGTTGAGTTGCGAATCACCAAAAGGGGCCAAAATACTCATTCAACCATTGTAGTATTTTCACAAACCAGTACCTTTGAACAAATGTAATTTCATCAAGAGATAATAACAATGGGTAAATAACAAAGTTTAGGCACTACTTTAATGAATAAATAAATGAGGTCATTCCAGTTTCGATGACTAGCTCAATGCAAGTTTCAGAGTGTATCTTTCCCAATAACATTTTTATGATTACTGTCTGAAGGTTGATCGGGAAGGTGGTATATTCATTTTCGTAGGTTTTTTGAAGTGTTCTCTCCTCGTTTCCATACGAAAATATGTGAGTATCATTTCAATATAAGTGTAGTGAGATCAAACCACATGGTTTGCCCCAAAATATCACTGCGTTCGAAAGTATTTATATCAATGTGCTTGGAAAATAAATAATTTGCATGTGAGTGAATCTTTGTTCAGATGAAGGTTTGAAGAAGAAAGTTGAAGACAGGTACATGGAAGGAATATTATACCATTTTGACTCATTCTTGGGAAGTTGAGACTCGATAATTTCATATATAGAATATAAGAATATAAAAAAATTGAAATCTCCACTCTTCAACTGAGCCTTTCTTGAAATGAAGTATCACTGACTGTCGTTTGATACCATTGCCATCAATTCTGGCGTTTTACAAGAATTATCATTCGTTCATCATATCAATGATACGTGGGTAGCAACCACTTGCCCTATCCTCAGCTTTGCAGACGAGTCCATTATCTTCTAGATATCCTATTTCTTCCCAAGAAACTGAGGTTTGACTACGAAGGCAGTTCAACGCTATCGATGATGATCTTGCTTAAATCACAGTCTCTCGAAAAAACAACCTAGTTGAATTCAACGCCACCAAAACTCAAGACTGTATTTTCTCTTGAGAGGCGGAGCTGTATATCTGATATAACAATATCTGGTAACACCACCTGACGAAGCTACTGTGTTAGCGAAACATGTTGTCTGTTTGAGAATTTTGTGGAAATCTTATCGTTTGTGAAGTTTTTACATTCGCCATGGATTTTCATCAAGTAACGGCCGAGTAGATAAAAAAAAAACCAAATGATCTAGACTAGAGCATGAGAATACATGAGGTATAGAGGTCTTGAAAAAAACGAAATCTTTGAGTGAGTTCACTGTACGTTTTGGTTACTGGATTGAACGCTTCGCACTATATGATATTTTCATGATTATGGGATTCGGTTTTTTATATCTCAGCTCTGACTTCGATTCTTCTGGGACTAGATCTTCAATGAACTAAGATCATTCCAGAATCCCATCATCAACAAATACAATATTCATGTGATATCATCATTCTCACAGTCTGATTGCGAATAATGATGAAGCCTGTCATTGTGATATGAACCCTGACGCTTAGGTTTGTATCAGTTTGACTAATGAAGAGAGAGTGCAGGTTGACTGAGCTCAAAATGTCTACAGGTCCCATCCAGTCTGTCAATATAATACAAACATTTACAAAATACACCTTTTTTTCGTGAAAAATTGTGTAATGAAGTATATGGAGAATATATTGTGGATATCATATGGTGATTTTGTGAAAAAAAAAACTCTTCTAACGTCTTTTACGCCATTTTGAAAAGAGTTGAAATATGATTTGATACGAGAAATCAAACCTTACACACAGATATTCAAATTTCCTCTGCCAAATTTGCATTTGCAGTTTCACTTTTTCTGTTATGATCGAAGGGCGGAGAGTTTGAATCACCCTGTTCATTGAGATAGTTGATCATTGATCGCGTAAATCTGTTGAATTTCGGAGTGATCGATTGGATGGAATAATATGAATCGAAGGCCATGAAAATGATATATACTGGCAATAATTTTTTTTCTGTCTAGGAATTGAACTTGTTCCACAAGATACAACGAATGAACTGAATAACTTCAGTGTTATTCTCATTACTGATCACAATAATAATGATTCAACTCACCTGCTGGCAAAAAAGCAACTGATTCCTCAGAATTGAATCCGATCATACTAGGTACATGATTGAAATTTCCATCGATGAAATCTTGATGCATGGGAGTCGTGACGAAAGCTTGGTCATCTCCTACATTCTCCACAACAGGTGACCATACCAGCTGCCCAATGAATCCAAAAGAGACAGAATTCGAAACCTGCAAAGTGAATAGCTATCTGAGCTCCATTTATACTCATTACCCATCATGAAAAATATCATTGGAGGTTGAGAGACGGATGGGTATAGTGTTCCTTTGAATTTGTCTCCTTCAGTAATGACTATAGATAGATTTTCTGTATTGACTGAGAATCATAGAGATAGAATTATTCGTGGAGGGTTATTTTCAATCCCAAGTATGAGCACAAACTCGATGAAAAAATTTCAGTTTCATCGCAATTCGTTGAGCGTGGTGTGAGACACCAACAAAAATCCTAGAAATTCTTGTGATAACGCGTTTTCATCTGATAGGTCATCATATCTCCGAAGTCAATGAACAAACGTTTTTCCCATTTCGTTACAGTTCCGTAATTGTTGATTGATGAAACAAGATCATGTTCTGTAATTGATGATTTTCCGTCATTGAGAAACGCGTTTTAGATATCGTTATACAACTATTCTCATCAATCTGGCAGAGTTCTGATAGTAGCCTAACGTATATTTCAAACATTAATGAAACTCTTGAAAGGAATGTTATTTGAATGTTTCTCCGCGAGTATTTGGTTGATTGACCTGAAGTACCGCAGACATATCGCTGATGCTCGCACTGAGAGTCAAGATGAAAAAATGAACATTCTTGTCTGATTTACTAGAAAAAACATCCAACGGACGTCCCAGTCGGTATGTTGAATATGTTGTTTCTGCGAGGTGGTTAGCTCATACTCCGCCAACGATCGACTGCTCGTAGGTTATCAATACTTTCCGTCCACGCAAGTCCATCAGACATCCCTGGACTCATTCAGCATCTAAGGACCGTCAAGAAGATGTCTTCATCAGTTATGCAAGATCTGTTTCTGATAAGACCCATATGAAATCAAAGTCAAGAATAACTCGTACGCCCCTGAGATATCCTATGGATATTCCAGATACCGTGAAATGAAAATTCCACGGACGTTCTATTGTCGTTTCAGAGAACGTCCTATCAACGTTCCAGAAGACGTCTCATTAACGTTCCTATGAACATTCCAGAAGACGTATTGAAGGATGTCCTATGAGCCACAGAATGATTCATGAACCTTTTCAAAGGACATCCATTGCATGATTTTCTGAAAAGGTCCAATGTATATTCTTGGAAAATATTCTTTTTTGATAAGTAGTCGGGACATTTGTACTTCCCACGAACGTTCTATAAATGTTCGCGGTACGAAGAACGCATGTCCTATGGACGACCCGGATGTCCCGGCTGGACGTCCTATGGATATCCATGTGACTTCAGTGTGCTATTAGGGATCATCGATCAATTCTCTCACGGGGAAATATCAATCTATACAGTTTCAGATCGTTAAGTCTGCTGAATGGTAAAATAGGTTATACTGATTATTGTGTCGATAATACTATGATCATGATATCATTTCAAACTAGTAAGATACCACCAGAGTAGTCAGATATATTTTAAACATTGAGTTTTTTTTTTTTGTTCAAATATTTTTTTTCCTGAGGTTCAAGGAAAATAGAGAGGTTATTTTGTGTAGCGGTATTAGTACATCTCATCCGTCAATCCGCGCGAATTAATACAGGTAGCGCTCCATGAATCACCTTTGAATAGAAGGACTGTGTCATCAGCGTACGATATTAGAGTGCCATCTATATTGAAAGAGAGTAATGAATTGATGTAGGTTATGAAAAGCAATGGTCCAAGTACTGTGCCTTGTTGAACACCTATGAGAACATCTACTAAATCACTGATTTGTTTTCTAATTTTCACATGTTGAGATCTATTTGTCAGGTCTCTTTTGAAAACATTTAACGCGACGCCCCTCACTCCGTAATGTTCGAGAACGTCCAGAAGATTCTCATGGGGCACCGTGTCGAAAGCTTTTGCAAGGTCTAGAAATACCCCAATCCATTTTTGGTTGGATTCTAAATTATCTCTCATCTGATCTATCAAATCGAACATGGCATCACTGGTGCTGGTTCCTGCCTGGATCCCATATTGCTTCTTATTTAGAATGTTCTTATCTAGTAGAAATTCACTTAACCTTTTCTTCAGGAATTTTTCAAATATTTTTGCAGAAGCACTAATGAGGCTAATTGACCTAAAGTTAGTTATACTATTCTTATCACCCGATTTGAATATTGGCACTATTATCGACTTTCTGAAGTGATCAGGAACTTTCCAATTTGAATAAATCAGATTGAAAATGTGTATCAGAGGATCTACTACGTGTAAATGATTGTCTTTCAATGGTTTGTTGTTTATGTTGTCAAAACCTGGAGAGCTGTTATTTTTCAAGGATTTAATATGCATTATTATTTCATTTCTGTCGACTGGCGATAGAAACATAGATTGTTTTATTTGAGAGAATGTCATCTCAGTATCAATGATTGGAGCATCAATTTTTTCAGCCATTTTAATTATTATGATTGATCGATGTAGGATTGTTATTATTGTTAGTGGCCTCATTAATTATTTCGAATAACTTTTTTATATTATTACTGTTATTGATAATTTGTTCTGAGTAGTTATTTGATTTTGCTCGTACAATCAGTTCATTTAGTTGATTTCTATAATTTTTATAATCATTACATAACTGTGGACATTGCTTATGTTTCATTGCATTTTTTTTCATCTTTTCCCTACGTTTTATTGGGTTGATTATGGCATTTGTAATCCACGGCTTAATTTTTTTGTGTTCTCTCACACTGAATGAAATAGTTTCGTTTGATTGCTCAAGTGCGTCAATAAACTCATTGAAAAAATTTCTCCATGCGGTTTCAGGATCTTGGCTTAAGTAAACCTCAGTCCATTGAGCCTTACTCAGTAATTCTCTGAATTTGATGTAGTCAATCTTCACAGCACGTTTTTCGGTGGGATTATTGTTATGCGATTTATTGTAACTGATATTCAGGAAAATTTGATAGTGATCCGTTATATCGTGGTTGATTACAAATGGATTAATTTCGTATTTTCTCGCATTGATATTTTTGCGTACAAATATGTGATCTAAACAACTTTGGCTTTCTGGTGTTACTCTTGTGTGGGTGTTGATAAGTGAGAATACATGAGTATAGAAATGTATTTTTTAGCCACTGCTGACCCATTGTCAAGGATATCAATATTCAAGTCGCCAATTAAGATGTCAAAATTTGTTCAGGGATGTTTCCGATAAAAAATGTTCTACGTCTTCTAAGAACAGGCTATCAGCTGACGATGGTGTTCGGTAGCAAGGCATGATATTATATGATATATTGTTTAAGGTGACTAAAATGTTAGATATTGTTACCTTTGTTAAAGGTAAGACTGTGTGTTTAATTTCATAAGTGACGCTACTATTCACGAACATGAGAACTCCGTCACACTGGTTTAGCTTACTTTCATTAAAAATATTTGTGAATCTTGGTATTGTGAAGTCCTCCACAGAGTCAATGCATCTGGTTTCACCAAGTATTATGACATTGATATCTGTAAGTTTACAAGTTTTCAAAAAAATCAGTAGCTCATCAGAATGTTTGCTAATACTTCTTATGTTTGGGTAAAGAATTCTGATAACGTTTGCGTTATCAACAATTAAGGCATTAGATTTTTCAATAAATTCATCAATGCAGTATGCTTCCATATCTTGTTCACTTCTTAATTCGTTTTCTAAACCATCTAGTATATTCAATTCACTAATATCCATGAATAAAAACAAAAATTGAGAAACAAATATTAAATAAGTAGAAAAAATCTATTAAAAAAAAGTGATGAATTTATGGAAAATTCAATTATTTGCAGCTATAATATATATATATTGTTTTTATATCGTTGCGTATAGAATTTCAATGTAGGACATCCTCTATAATATGCTTCGTGATGCACGTCGTATTCTAGATTTGCAAATTCTTCCATCGATCTTTGGCAGTTACAGCACTTCTTGTATTCCTTTGGGCAGTTGTTTGATCTATGTTCTCCTCCACAGTAGGAGCAAGTCAATTTGTTTCTACAATTAGTGTCCTTATGGTCATATGCGTGGCATGTTTTACATCTTGGAATATTGAGGTCTTCGTACACCGGGCAACGTTTTCAACCGACATATATTTTTTTGAAATTCATGAGTTTCGAAAAAGTTGTGCCAGAACATTCAGCGAAGATGATTTGTTTTCCAGAATTGATTTGCTCCATGAAGGTAACATTGATTGATACTATTGATTGACAAACTCAAAATGGGCTCGAATAGGATGTTGAATTTGTCTGTCATAGCTGAAGTCGAAAAGCCAACTAATTGTTGAGGTTCGATGATTGTCAATAAAATATTTCGAAGATAATCGACTCTGCACTGATTGAACGCAATTCAATGAATTGACTGAGAGAAATCGAATTATTTCGTCATGTGTTGAAGAGACATTAGCTCAACTGAATAAAGCCACGTTTTTCACGAAACTTGATTGTGCCACAAATTTTGTCACACATTTTCAAAAGTCTGATCGACCGACTTCGAGTATTCTAATCTTCATTGAAAATATATTGAATCACTTTGAGAATGAATGATTTTTGCGATTATTGCTCAACACCATCTGGTAGATATACGTATAACAGAATAGATAGATAGATAGATAGATAGATAGATAGATAGATAGATAGATAGATAGATAGATAGATAGATAGATAGATAGATAGATAGATAGATAGATAGATAGATTGATAGATAGATAGATAGATAGATAGATAGATAGATAGATAGATAGATAGATAGATAGATAGATAGATAGATAGATAGATAGATAGATAGATAGATAGATAGATAGATAGATAGATAGATAGATAGATAGATAGATAGATAGATAGATAGATAGATAGATAGATAGATAGATAGATAGATAGATAGATAGATATTTATTTCCATACTAATAACATTGAATTAGTTGATCGTCAGATAAAATAGTACTATACAAAACAAAAGTGTATATAATCACAAAACTACAAAACTGCACAAATAGTATAAAAAGTAAAAAGTATAACTA